TTCAAATTTCAAGCAAACATCCATTCGTTTGTTACGAACAAAAACATTATTATTCACGTTTCTGTATTACATCATCATTTTTCTTGGTTATGCAAAATCATCATCTCAAGATTCATCTAAGGGTTTGCTTGAGAGTTTCGAGATAGAGATTATGAATATTTTTTAAAGTACACATTTTAAAAACAGTCTAACCATGCTTGTGAATTTATTAACCACCAATTATGAAATTTTGTTAAAACAATAAAATTATATATATGTCATTTAGTTAGAATTTCAAGTTAAAAATTTAAATAAAATTAAATATTTACTTGCTACTTATAAGTAAATTTTGTAGTTTTAAATAATTTTCAAGTGAGTTTTTACTTTAAAGTAAATATTTGCTGAAAATAATTATTTTTACTTTATAAATTTTTTTTACTTAAAAGTGATTTTTATTTTATGAGTAATTTTTTATTTATAAGTAATTTTTTTGCTTATAAATTTTTTAGTCAATATTTTTATTTACAAGTTAGTTTTGAACAAAATATGTTGATTGAAAATAATTATTTTTTATAAAGGGAAAAATTAAAAGAAAATATGAGAAACAATCAAAACACTTCATTTGGTGAGGTAAGGGAATCAGTGAAAATTCACGAAGAAATGCTCTTCGATACAGTTACCCCTCACAACTCTCTTAGAAACCAAAATTATATCAAGTAACCACATTCTGTTCACCAAGAACAATATACAAACTTTTAACTCTTTATTTAGTATTTATGTCAAACCTCTCCAAGAAGATTTCTGCTATATGTACACCCTAGTATGCCATTTCGTTTACGAAATTTACACTTAACAAAATTTCATAAAATTTTCCACAACAAACATATTTAATTCGACTGTTACAATTCTACCGCTCAGCATCTGTACAACAGGATGGTGACTTGGCGAGAAAATCTGACAGCAAGAAAGGATGAAGCGTACAGAGAAAAGAGAGAAAAAGTTCTCTATCAAATGAGAAGTAATTACTATTGACAAGCAGCATCCTGCCATCCTCCAAGCCCTTTCATCAACGATCATAAAGTTGCTACATGTCATCATCTCAACTATTTCCAAATGAGTTCTGCTATGTGTCAAAGGTCACATGGGCCCTGACCATGGCGCTCCCTATCGGTGGGGGGCCTTGGCCCCGGCCACCCAGTTTTGTTCTTTTCAAATTGACACTAAAATGGTACTGTGAATACAGGAGGTAACAAGTGGATCATTGAATTGGGCCAGCAGTCCAAAATAAATGACTGGGCTTCGCCAATTAAAAGTGGCACAATTGCTAAGCATTGGTCCAACAATGTGCCTTTTACCAAAATAGCTACCATGCCACCAACGGAGTAGACACCTAAAGGTGATATGGGGAAGATGTACTCTTAGGCTGCTCAATTCGTGAACTGGTTCTCAGTTGATGATTTATCATTTATGGTTTGGGCCATCGGACGAAAGGGATAGAATAAAGCCTAAGCTCTGAAAAATATTTTTTGTTGTACATTAATCAAAGACTATATCCGAAAGAAAAACATTGCATTACAAAGGAGAGAAATAAGTAAACAAAACAGGAAGGATCTGTTGGGGATAGAATTGATGGCTGAGAGAACCGTAACTATGATTATCTGAATGTATGATTGTCACAAATAATTATAAATAAGGTTCTCTGGCCACAAGAGTGAATTTTTTTTTATCATAATATCATTGACCAATTTCACAAATCATCACGATGCTCACAATCAAATATTTCTATATGTAGTTGTTCGTTATCCTGTGCGTGTGCATCGTCCAGCCTGTTCGGAGTTCTTGGGCGTGCAGGAACTGAGAAGGACCGTGTTATCCTTGGGGAAACACTGATATATGGAGGGTTATTGGGCATCATACTCGGTAAGGATCGTGTTCTCCTTGTTGAAACACTGATATATTGAAGGTCATTGTGCGTCTGATCAGAGAAGGATCGCAATATCGAAGGTCCTATACTGTCTTGTGCACCTTCTATGGGTTGTTCACAGTGTACTTCTTGAGGTGCATCTCCATAACAGTGCGCAAGCGCAACCCAGTAAATTAATAAGTTAGCAAAACTTAGAATGTTCAGGATCGCATAATAATTGTCCATTCGACTTGAATCTATATCACGCCCAAACCAGCTTTTGAAAATGAGGATACAAAGTGTAATCAGAAACTTTCCGATGCCCATCACACATTCTCCAAATGGTGTCCTGTAGTCCCTTAGAGATTCAGAAAGCAGAGAACGAAAGAAACTTTGAAGCCCTCTTTCAGAAAGTCCTTTCATAATCCCCAACAAGAGAAATTGTGGAGTTAGGCTAAAAATATCCATATGCATACTTGGCTGTGTGTTGACCAAATCTGCATTTTTGTAGGCAAATCTGCAACAAATGAAAGAAAATGCTAATCCAACACCGATTCTCCACTGCATTATGACTTGTCCATTCATTTCATTACCAATCTTTCGAAATAGGAAGTCCCATAGACAATCAATTGCGAAGCTTGTGACCGTTACTAATATAATAAAAACAGTAATAGGGAAACTGTCATCAATGTTGCTAGCTTGTTTGAGAAAGAAGGTGCTCCCCGTCGCATCAACCAGACTGAATATAAGGAAAGTTGTCCACATAGGAACCATCCCTAAAAAAAATTTCACTTCCTTCACTTGTGCAACAGTGCAAGGCTTCCCTGTCCTATTTTCCTCTTCAATCGCAGAGGGAGCTTTGTTCAGTAAATAAAATCAATAATCTCGTATGTATACATTGCAAGTCAGAAACCGAGTGAAGGGACACACTCAACCATGAAATGCGAGGAGCAATACGTGGAGAACTGTTATGACTGTTCAAGAGTTGGTTTTTAGTAGTTTCAGTAACAATATTTCTTTTTAGTACTGCTATTAGGATAACAGTTAGAACATCGAAGATGGCACTGCACATTGGGTCATTGAGGTTGCGGAATTCGGCTTGTGACAAGAACCGAATGAGTAAAATAAAAATTCCAACGGCAACCAAGCTGAACGCAGATTCACACCAGGAATAGATACGGCTTTGTTTTCGTTCTTTCTTCTTTTCTCTGGTTGGCATATCCTTCACCAGAAACGCTTTCAAGGATATTTCATTTTGCACTGTTATCCAAGTTATTAGCAGCAGCATCCAGCAAAGAGTTGGAATCTCTGTATTTGTATTCCGCTCTGTGTCTGGAATGAGCAGTGCTACTCCCTACAAAAATTCGATTGATTCAGAAAATTCATGAATAAGACAGATTGAGCATCATTTGAGAGTGAAAAAAAAGTGGTGGATTTAATGTTAATCTCTCATTACTACTCACAAAGATGTAAGATATGATGGAGTAAACCACCAATTTGAAGCGGCCCGGATAGTTGTCCAATGTAATAGCAAATAAAATTTGCAGAAATGTCGAGGTTCCTTCCTGTAAATTAACAGCTTTAGCCGATTTTGTCAAGTCTCATAAACCTGGAGATAAGTGATCAATATATTTACCAGCGCATCGTCCTGGAAACCGATGTCCATTGTAATGACTACAGAAATTTAAACTAAAAGTGTTAGAAACTAGGAAATGTGAAAATATTACACTTCAGAATGAGCTACAGATACTATAATTTACCAGTTATAAAAATCAGTACATGATTTGATAATCTATAGTAGTTAAAAAGCTTTGTCAAACACCATTTGATTGTCCTCATAATTGGTATGTCCCATACAACTCGGAGTCGGAGATAAGTGGCCAATAGGCACAATATATGGCACAGCGACCACATAAGGACACCGAAGACAAGCGTGAGACCTACAGAAATTTAAGCAAAGTGTTAGAAATTAGGAAGAAATAATCAGAATCGGGTGCAGAAACTATAATTATACTCAATTTACCATATCTATATATTTCATCCATTAAGTGAAAACCGTCGTAAAAAAAAAACCAGCAGATTATCCTCATAATTGGGCTTGAATCGATTCCACTGCTACAAAGAAAGAAATCTGATTGGTCTTTTACTTCTTGAGAATCAGGGCACTAATCGGCTATATTTTAAGGTTGGAATTGATGAAGTTAGAAGGAAACTTCCTAAGGGCCTGTTTGAAACCTGAAATTTTCCATGGAACCATTTTCCAAAGTTTTGGTCTGTTTGGTATCCAACATTTTCCATGGAATTCTGTTTTGTGCGTTTACTCGCTAACAACTAAAAAGGGATCAGACGATTGTGTAAGGGGCAAACCTCTTGAAACAAAGTCCCAA